ATATCTGGCATCACAGCTAACCAAAAACTGAAAATCTACCGAACGATGAAGAATCCGGACGGCACGGAATCGGTCAGTAGTGTTTTTTTTTATTTTAGCTCAAATTTTCGAATTAGTTTTAACATCAAAATCCTCCTTTCGCCTTTTACCCTTTGTCTTCAGCCTCTTATTGTTTGAGCACAAGGATACCTCGCCATCGAAAGGAAAGTTGGGGGAAAGTCCCTCACTATCCGATCGGCGTAATAGCTCCCGCAGAACTTTTGGGAAGCATAGCATAAAGGCGTCGGGAATCACTCCCCTTAGAAGAAGGCTGTAGGCTTAGGGTTCCAGATACCAGGATCTATAACTTTGTATTATATGGTAAACACTTCTACGCTATCTATTTACAACTGAGTCGGTGCGTAATCGCTACTGCCTGTGCATGAGCCTGCTCTTTAGACACGAGTGGAGGTGGTTACCCGGCCGCAACTTATCGAAGCCTAAATCTCAAACACACCACTGTTTCCTTTCCAGGAGTCTTCAAAGGATCCTTGCCATACAACGGACAATTCTTGTTGGTCTTCATATGACCCGTACCATGACAAGCGGAACAGCGCATTTTTTGCAAGTTTGGCTTGATCGGGATCGGCTTCTTCTCGACAACTCGCTGCAATACAAAAACGACTGAAGTTTTGTATGCTTTTCACGGAACCAAGTCAGTACCTGTTGCGGATGCCCAGTCTTTCCTTTTTCCTCGTTTCTTCGAATCCGCCGCAACTGATCTTGGAGACGACGCTTCTGTTTTCTTCTTTCCTAGAAGGGAACATCTATGCGATAGGGATTAATGTTTTTAATGTATATTCCATACCTCCTTGAACTGTTCATCCATCTGAGCGTACACCTCAATGAAATTCTCATCCTTTGTCATTCGAATTCGAGTGTAGGCTTCGATAAGTTGCGGCCGGGTAACCACCTCCACTCGTGTCTAAAGAGCAGGCTCATGCACAGGCAGTAGCGATTACGCACCGACTCAGTTGTAAATAGATAGCGTAGAAGTGTTTACCATATAATACAAAGTTATAGATCCTGGTATCTCGAACCCTAAGCCTACAGCCTTCTTCTAAGGGGAGTGATTCCCGACGCCTTTATGCTATGCTTCCCAAAAGTTCTGCGGGAGCTATTACGCCGATCGGATAGTGAGGGACTTTCCCCCAACTTTCCTTTCGATGGCGAGGTATCCTTGTGCTCAAACAATAAGAGGCTGAAGACAAAGGGTAAAAGGCGAAAGGAGGATTTTGATGTTAAAACTAATTCGAAAATTTGAGCTAAAATAAAAAAAAACACTACTGACCGATTCCGTGCCGTCCGGATTCTTCATCGTTCGGTAGATTTTCAGTTTTTGGTTAGCTGTGATGCCAGATATTTTAGACGCCGATGCAGCCAAATCTTCGCCAATTTTCGAGACATCTGTAAAATGACGGATGACGATTCCAAAACAGATGCTACGGGCTAGTGCGACTGAAGAGTCTCGGCATTCTTTACCCTTCTTATCCAGTGTTCAAATCCAGTGTTCAAAGTTCGTGTCAAAAGTTGTGTTAGCCTGGAAACTGGGCCCCGAGTGACGCTTTGACCTCCAGAAAATAAACATTTTATCTGCGTGGAGTGCCAAGAGGTAAGGATGGGGGAAGGAGGAGGATGATATACTATTGTTTCTGCTCGTCCGCACCCTTCCACGAGATAATGCTTTACTCTGCTAACCCTGAGCATTAGAAAAGGGAAATATCACTATGGCAGGGAACCAGGGAGCTGCTTTGTGCCGCTGGCTTCTCTTCACGCTGGGACAGAAACGTGCATAAGTTGCCGTCACCAGCTAGGCAGGCGAGTACCATCCGCTTTCTTTCCATGCGGACGTGGTGCGAGTTCGGTAGTTACCCTTGGAGACAAGTATTCAGGAAATTACGTGATGTAGGGTATTTGAGCAGCTCCTTCGTAGAAAAAGGTATGATAGGTAAGTGGTAGAGAAAGATAAGGTAGATAGATGGTAAAAACTGGTCTGATTTCGGAAGACTGGGCAGTAACGGGTACATAATGAGACGGTTTGACCTAGATATGGATGCATACCACCGGCAAAAATCGAGCCAAAAATAATCTGAAGGCAGCAGCGAAAGACCTTATGCGATTGATGAAATCGTAAGTAATGATCAATGCTAATTAAAGGTACGACAGACACTGAACATGATGAAGCTCTTTGACGAGATTCAGAAGAAGATCCCAGTCCCATTTCTAAGGTATGACCTACTGTCCTCCTTTACTTTACATGAATCGAAGATAGATTCTCTTTCCACTAAAGCATCTGATATGAGAAATTCTTCTGGTATGCGAGACCTACGATCCTACGGTCCCCCGTCCGCAGAAAAAAAGCTTACAAGAGACCAGAAAAAATAGCCACTGAAGGCCGTGATGAAATGTTAGGCCAAACGAAAGAGAGCTATGCAATGAGAAGAAATAACATTGAGCCTACTTTTCTTCTCTTCCGCAGTTGCCTCTTTCTTATCTTTCTCAGTTTTATTTGTTGCATCACCATGAACCATCCGCTTCAGATCCTGCCGCTCTTTTTCCTCATTTTCAAACTCCATTCGAGCTCGCTCCGACATTGATATGTGCTTCTTGCCTTAACAGTAGAATAATTTTTTTGCCCGTCCGTTCACTATAGCATTGAACAACTCACCTTTATTTGCCTGTAGCATAGTCTCAAGCCTAGTTGCTAACTCTTCATTATCGGAGTCTTCACCAGAGCTTCCCTCATCTGTCGATAACGCTTCTGGATTCGCGAGAGTTCTTAAAATATTAAATTTTCAGAAAAGCAATTTAACATTATAATAATCAGATTCTGCGAGCGAAATAAACAACACTGACTGGTTCTGAAGGTCAAAAATGTGCTGGCAGTGCTTTTTGTACTTCTCTTGCATATCAGCAAAGTTGAAGCGAATATTTCCTCGAGCAAATCGCGCCATGCCAGAAACATTTCCATCTTAAGAAGGGTTTTCTTATTTTGAATCTCTGAGAGGAATTGCATTCTATATCTACGCTAATCGACAATACCACTTATACTTACGATCTCCCGACGAGTCCGCTTTTGCCTTTGCAGCCTGCGTTGACAGTGTTCTAATGACATCTATAATTTCCCATCGAGAAAGCGCATTAATCTATAAGAATTTAAAGAAATAAGGGTAAAATTGGTAAAATTTATTGCGACGATGTACTGAATCGTATACCTCCTCCTCTCGTACACCATAATCTCGACAAATTTCTTTTGCTTCTTTGAGGGGTAATTTCCTGAGATCTGCATTTGTACCCGTAACAAGACGTTTTGGCATCGCAGGCGTATCATCCTGTATTATGAAGAATCATCACAATAATTCAGGGAGATGAAAGTGACCACAGTGACCAAATAACTAACTTTTTGAGGTTTTTGAGATACTCGCACATAACTGAATCCTTGTCCACACCCCGTTGGATCAGCGATTCCTGTTTGATCCAGAAGACATTTCCCACGCATGGATGATAGAAAAGCTCTCGTTGTGTTCCATGGAGCGCATTTTATCTGAACATAAGCATGAGCAGATGGCCTCCGAATTCACAAGCGAGAAGGCTAGGTAAAGTGAAACTGTACATTCGTTGAACTACATCGACAAATTATCAACTCTCGATCATCCCAAAACTAACCTCGTCCTCGATCGTCACTTGGTCGTCGGAATCATCTTCATTTTCTGGAGTGAAGAAGTACTTCTCTCCATAACCCGCGTCCTAGCAAACAGAATAATAGAAACGTTCAATTATCAAAAAAGTCGGACTCAAAATATAATAGAGGTAGAAAAACCATTCCTAATTGTGGAAAACTGACAAATCGAGAGTATAAAGACCAAGCCATTAGAGTAGTCAAAAATGGGTTATAAAAAATGAATTAGTAAATTAAGAATTAAACTGAAAGCATTCGAATTAATTTCCAACCTTCAGCCTCTGTTCCGCAGCAAGCATACTGTACTGGGCACAGCACATTTCAGGTGTAACCATCGCCAGCACCTCTTCCTTGCTTGGCAGACGGAATTCCGGCCGCAGCACCTTCACAAAAAAACATCAAACAAGCGGATGGACAACGGAGTGAAAACAGAATATAATGAAAAAAAAACATAAAAAGTTTTCGGAACAAACTACTGGTGACTACTTCAGGAGCTCATGAGCGACGTCATCACCCAGAAATGACTTCATGTTCACTGTAGAGGCCGTGATGTAGGGGCCCTTAGCACATTCCAGGTGCTTCCCACGTTGCGCAGCTCATATTAGGATCAGTCGTCCGAAAGCATCAGGATGGGTCTCAGGAGGAGCTCATCGATAAGTAAGTGGACAAATATTACCTATCGGAAGTTCAACACACTGCGGCCAGTAGGCTGCACCATGTGCACCCAGCCACCAAATGAAAAATCGTTTTGCTTAACTGTTAGGCAACTCCATTCACAATACAGTTGAGAAAGCATATTTCTCAACTCGTGGAATCGGAAAACATATTTCCCAGCCATGAAGCTACCGAATATTACCACGATTGATTAGTAAAAAAAGGAAAAGCAATTAAGTGGAAGTTCATGTATAGGGCGGTCAGTCAATATTCTAAATCAATAGAAACGACAAAAAAAATTGAAAACGAACGCAATAAACATAAGAAAACGTATAGACATTCGAGAAGCTAACCCAGTAATTTTGGTCCGGCCCAGTTCCTAAGCGCTTGAAATCGGAGCATTGCTTCAAGCGTTTCCGCACACTACTCTCTGCGTAGTGAGGAAACGCAGCTTTGATGTCATCCATTTTCAACCGACGAGGCCGATGTTCACTAGCCCAAAAGAGCCGATAGATAAATGCCTGAATTGACAAGTCTTTCAATTTATCCCAATCACATCACGAAACAACGCACCAGTAGAAAATCTCGAACGAATATCGTAGCTCTTTTGGAGTTTGGACTAGGTACTTCGTACAGAGGACACTGTTGTCCTACCAAGAAAGGGGGAGGGCACGGTCTAATGAACCATCTAAAAGGAAATTATATTCATCAGCAATACAGTAATCGACAAGAAAGGCAGGACCACAGTAATGTGCAAAAGCACCAACCCATTACGATTCCGTATAAGAAGATAGTCAGTATGCTGAGGTGCATGGCGATAAATAGGCGCTCTAAAATGATAGTATTAACATGAAAACGAAAGAAAGTTAAGAAAAAAGGAGGTAGAGTGGATGGTCAGTAGGAAGGATCTTTTGCTTTTCAACTGACCGGAACAAGTTATTCTCAATTGACTGCATCGCCTGTCCAGGTTGCAGCTGACCGAGAAACGGAACGGTATGAAGGTATGCCATATCACCAAACTCGAAGTCAGGATCAACATCTTTTCCGGGCTTCTAGAGAATAAGGTAATAAATTACTGAACAGAGGTTTAAATGTTCGTGCAACTAACCTTTTTATAGTAGTTCTTAATTTTCGAGGCCATACCGGGCTGGCAGAGTAATGGTGGATGCTCTTCGGAGTATTCTAATAAGACTAAGTCACCATCACGACCGCTGAGATCTGCCACATCTCGCATGAAGAATATATCGCCACCACCTTCTGCACAACGTTGCTTTTCTCGTTGCTAAAAAGGGTTTTTCATGAACATTAGGCATACTTTCGTCAATTCACCTCACTAAATCAGGTACCAGAAATGCCAGCATTATCACTGGAGGTAAAAAAGTGTAACAGCCGACCACCAGCTACGTTCCTTTGTTATTTGTTTGCTTGTTCAAGAATTTCCGCCTAACTTAAGTAAGTTACCTTGAAGAGTCATTCTTAAGAGATTGGCCCAGGGTTAAGATGGGTAAATACAGGACTGGACATATAGAGCACAAACGAATTCAGCTATTGTCCTACCCACAGTGGTCGGGACACGCGCCAGTGCCTCCTGAAACCGCCCACTTTCGCCGGGAATCGGATCTGAGCGATTTCAAAACAAAAATGAGAATTCAGCATCCATGATCGACTTTCAATGAATCTTGGCATCGTGTGAGGTCCTTCTGATTAGATGTTGTAAACCACAGCCAAGATATTAACAACTTTTATTTGGCTACGTTTCGGCCTTGTCGCCTTCGTCGGAGCCTGGAAAGTCAAAGATAAGGTGACCTACCGCCGAATGCCATTTCAGACTTGAGCAGCTCACCATAGACTAAAGGCGTCTAGGGAGGTCTCGTAGCTCACAAGCACAAACCAACTAACCTTATGAGAGCACGGCTAGCTTGAGTTCGACCACCGCTAAACTGACTCACTGTGGGTGGCTTCAGCTGACCCAGCCCTTCGACCCGAAGCCGATGGCGATTGAAGCCCACACAGGTCAGCGAAGGGGGCGAGCTCACTTGTTATGGCTAGGCATTCATCTTTCCTGTTCAACTTGGGGTTTTTGGCGCGTTTTTGACGTAAGCTAGCCGTGCTCTCATAAGGTTAGTTGGTTTGTGCTTGTGAGCTACGAGACCTCCCCAGACGCCTTTAGTCTATGGTGAGCTGTTCTCAAGTCTGAAATGGCATTCGGCGGTAGGTCACCTTATCTTTGACTTTCCAGGCTCCGACGAAGGCGACAAGGCCGAAACGTAAGCCAAATAAAAGTTGTTAATATCTTGGCTGTGGTTTTGTTCATCTAATCAGGAGGACTTCTTTT